TCATACTCAGTTTTGCTCCCGCTCTATTTTTCTACCTGAAAACTTAATTCAACAGCAGCCTCTGGGCCGGGTCGCCTCCGGGTTCACTGCGGCGGCTGGTAGGTGTTTTTCATCTAAATGATCTAAAGGATTATAAAAGGATAATGGGATAATAAAAGCGAACATATTCTGTCAGCAGGTTTTAGGATTTTAAGTTAATTTATGCGTCAATAAATGTTTCAGAGGAGTGATCACAGCGCTGTGTCATCAGCGATGTGTCTGTCTCACGGCCGGCTCCCAGGTTTGAATAATACTTTGTAATAAATACACCTTGCAGCTATATTTGCTGTGATCAGTGGGAATAAAGTAGTTTTAATATGTTTTTAAGTGAGAAAATCCACCTGAAAACTTAATCATTGCAGTCAGATTATCCAGATTATCATCCTGCCTTCTAATATTAGTTCTGTCGGTGCCGCTCAGACCCCCACATACCAGCGGTGCACGACAATAGGAATGTCTCACGGCCAGCTACCAGGTTTGATTAATACTTTGTAATAAATACATGAATAAAGTACGGTCATACTCAGTTTTGCTCCCGCTCTATTTTTAAATACGCAGTAGAGGTATTTAAACGTAGTAGAGGAAATGTACCTGTATATAAAAAACGCGCCCTATAGTCCGGTGCAGCTTATGTGTGTGTTAAATACAGTAATGGTACACATAACTGAGACTGCGCCTTTTAGTACGGTACGCCTTATGGTCGTGAAAATACGGTAACAACAATCAAGCCTGGCCATAAACAGTAAATTATCTTTAGCATGAGTCCAAGTGGATTGTCACTGCTCACCATGAAAACCTCTCCACACATCACAGTTACTGAGCTTCCATAAGCTGAATCAGTGGACTAGATATGAGGCTCTGCATGGTTCCTGTCTAACGCGCTTTCCTCAGTACAATTAAAATCTCCACCAATCCACAAACACTCCTCACTGCTACATTTATCAATAACATTAAAACATGTAGAAACATGACTCTCTCCACGCCCAAAACTGGAGCAAACAACATTATCCTTTAAAACGCTAAAAACAAAGCACTGGACTTTGTTTTCATGAAGTTTGAAGACGTTTTGCTTCCCATCCAGGAAGATTTTCAATTAAAAGTGTCCGAATTGGCCTTGAGTTCCAAGCTGTATAGAGTAGCCCAACAAAGTCTTGTTAAGGCTTAGAAAACATGCAAATTGGACTGAAAGGGGTTCTTCTGACTTAACGCTAAATTAGACATTTTAAATTGAAAAGCTTCCTGGAAGGAAAGTAAAACATCTTCAAACTTGGAAAACAAAGTCCAGGGGTTTGTTTTTTAACCTTTTTAGAATGACTATGACCTTGAGGACTCAGAATCTTCACAAGCATCATTTTACTTTTTCATGCACTGCTCTTACTTTTGACAGCTTTTAATTACCTTTTCAGATTCCAGTGACCGAGGAATAAAGTTTTTGGCAAAGTGAACCCCAACCCACCCCTGTTACTGGTTTTATTAATTAAAAAGGACTCACAAGTCCATTCTCTCCTCAAGTCAGCCTCGGTATAAGCAGTACTGTGTGTCTCGTACAAAAAAACATCCAACTGTTTTTCAGAACTTAAATGGAGCCCTTGCCATAGTTAAGCTCAACTTGCCTATATGTACATCCTCTATAACATTGAAAACAATTAGTGATACAGAAACAAACGGAAAAGAGAAAGATTATGAACCCTAGTCACCATCTTCAAAGTGCTCTTTGACCATTTAAACTAATTTTATTTAACATTAGACTACTCTCTGTCAGTGAAAGCTGTCTCTCCTAGCACTCCAGGAGTTCTCAGAAAAGCCTTGACTGAATCAAGGAAGAGCAGCAAATAAGGAAACACTTTCTCCACTTTAACATGTCCGACTCCTTTGGTGTCATGTAAACCGTAGAATTTAAAAGAACCACCCTTCCTGTGAGTCCACTGTTGTGAAGAGGCCACAGAATCCAGATCACTCTCCTCATCACCATCACTGCCACCTGGCTGCTGACACTCACTTTACAAGCAGACTGACGCTCAAAGTTTCTTTTCCTCTTTTTATCATCTTTAGAAAAATCTTTATCCACCAGCATCTCACCGTCCTCCTCCAGAGAACATCTATGGCGCTAGATTGGTCTCAATTTTCACAAAATCTGTCTGGATTTTTGGGAATGCCCTGACGTGCCTCGATACACAAATGCATTTTTAAAAACATGAATGGTTTGCCAACAACCAAAAAGCTCGGTACTGCCTGAAGTACTCCACCACCCTCCGCCCCGCTCACATACGTCGAGCGGAGCACTTGCCTACTCATATTAATCAATGAGAACTGTTCCACATCCAACGCTACTCTTTCGAACATCACTGACCACATACGACCTCTCCTTCCGTCACTGTCAAAATACAGAGCTCAGCTATTTTTAGCTCTGCTCCAGTCCGGCCAGGTCAAGATCCACAAAGGCACCAAACAGGAAAAAGAATGCGAGAAAATCCGGTTTGTCAAATTAAAATATGGTAAAGACAGGTCGTTTAATTAAATTATTGGATGCAAATTATTGGTACTTCAACATAAAAGGAAGCAGATTTCTTATCTGTTTATTTTATACCGGGAAGCTTAAAAGTTTAATCAAATCCATAACAGCTTCCAAGAGCGCCTCTCCCAACTTCGAAATAAGCTTCTTATCGCAGGCATGGATGAGGACATGCTGAGTTTGGAAGTAGAGAACAAACCGATTTTATAAGATAATTCCTATTACAAAGACCAACAACGAAAAGAAAAATGTTTGGGCAGAAATGTGTGTGATTGATGCTGATAGTTAGATTTTATTATGTCATATTAAATTGAGCATTCACTACCACATGTTTTTTTTTCCTTATGAATTAATATAGCGCATGCTCTCCTCAAGCTCAGAAGAAGTTGGAGAGGAGCAGGACGTGAGGAACCATGGAGGATGTAGGCTTGCGATTGGCTTATACAAGGGAGCTTTGTCATTGGTGGCAAACCATTCCCGTTTAAAAAAATGCATTGGTGTATCGCATGTCAGGGCAGTCTCAGAAATCTACAAACAAATGCAGTGAAGTTTAAAGACTACTGATACTTTGTAATTGAATTTATAATTGTTTATGGACCAGAAATACTTTGGTGAATCTTGTTCTGTGCGTCTGTGGATCTTGTCCTGTGCATATATAAAACACATACGTGTATTAGTGAAAATTGAGACCGATCTAACTCCATGAGCATCCTGCCTCCCTTGCTTTAGTCTCTGTGTTAATGCCGTCAGTGTGCGAGTGCTCACTCACTACTGAACCAGAAAAATCAGCATCGGATCCAACAGCACCAAAGTCTCTGTTATCCAGACTAGGAACTCGACGTCCATAAGAAAAATCAGGAGGTAGAATTGCATTAACAGACCCAGCTGCCCAGCCTGCTGTGTACCCTGAGTGTTCTCCTCTTGTGAACTATTTGTGTTCATGATCTGAAGCTGTTTTTAGCGTTTTGTTTCTGTGGACAGGAATGGACAATATGGCCCTCCATTACACTTCATTCTTTCTGAAGCAGCATAAATAGTGTAATCACTCATCTACTCTAAACTTCAATATTAAATTCAGCTCCTCAGCATTATTTTTCAAAGTCATAAAGACCTGATTTCTTAAGGAAACAACATGTTTAAGGAGCTGTTATTTACAGCCAAGATCAATCGGGTTATTGGTGGACATTGGCTGCACGTGCCTCACTAGTTCTCTTTTTTAACATTTAATTACCAATAATAAAAGATTATATTTTTGTCGGGGTTAACTAGCAGAACAACGCGGCATTCTAAACTACCACACCTTGCTCAACAACCATTTTAACTGCTTGCTCATGTGGGCCACAAAGAGGCCTTCAATAGGTGGGATGTAGGTCTATGGTATTTAAGGTCTTTTTCTCCGACCTGTCCAGGGGTACCCCACAGCTAAAGATAGGCACCAGCAGAATTCTAAATTGTTCTTTCTGTCCTCCTGAAATCCCATCTTGGGGATTCCTTTGTCATGTTTTTGCACAAATCTGTCCCACTTGCTATATATGCTTTTATGCGAATTCAAACCTGACTCTTTCCCAGTGTGATTTACAGATTTTATTTAGCATTTTTACCAAAAACAGATGTCTTTTATTTTGTTGCTGCATTTCTCTTCCTATCAGACCCATTAAATGACAGCTAAAATGCTGTGTAGTCAGACCTGGGATCTATCTCAGTTGGAGCTACGCAAGCCACTTGGAGAAAATTTTGTAAAATGTGATCATCTCCATTGACTCTCAAAAAGCTTTAAACACCACAACCTCGTCCAACACGATTCTCTGTCAGATCGGACGCAAAATCGGATTCAGAGTGTTCTGGGCTTCAAAAGGTGGGCAAGACGTCTGTGTGACTGTGGGCAGCAGAGAAGGATGCTAAGCTCGTCACTGAACTAAACCCATTGATGAATGTTTATTTCATTGGCTCTATCCAGACTTCCATCCACCTGATAGACATTCTGCTAGAAGACTGATCTTCTTCATCCTTTTGTGGGATAGAGTCTCATGCACATGGGGGGCTTAGCTTACCTGCTGAGTTCTAAGGTTAATTTGTTGCACTGGATTTTATTTAGAGACATCAGAGTGAGTGAACTAGCATCTTCAGATAGAAGGATGCATTAGATTGCTGCTCTGTCACATGAAACCCTCATCAAACCCTTAGACATTTGATAAAATAATGAAACCTAAGAAAGAAGCAGAGAACTTCAGCAGCTTACCTTACTGTTGTCCAGAGATATTTCACGCACAGCATCTGTCACCCCTACCACACCTGTTGGGACAGACTTGCATTAACTTTTATCGTCCATTTATCTTTGCAAACAAAGGTCTCACCCTGTTTTCTGATGAATGGTTTAGGTATACCGACAAAGCAATACATATTACATAAAAGAGGCTTTCAACACATTTTGAAGGCAGGATCCGGAGCTAAACGCGGAACTGATCAGAATCTGTCAAGTGTTTCCAACCTGAGTTGTGATAGGTGTCCACCCAGCCACCGTCTCCATCATCTTCCTCTATAATGGCTTCCAGCTCATCAGAATACTCCATCTGTTTACAGCGCTTGTAACATGGGACTATATAGGAACAAGAGCATAAAACAAAGCAGATGTGTGTTTAGTATAATACTGCAAGGAAATGTTGGGAGAAGATCCATCCTATGTCTGAGTATCCATGGAGCTTCAGAAACCTGCCGAACAAGTCATGAAGATCCCTCTAAAACATTATGAAGAGGCTTGGATTAAACCAGAGAATGAAGGATGGAAAAAAAGCAGCACTCTTTTAGGTTCCCTGTTAAAATTCAGTCCTTTGTATTCTTTTAAAAATTTGTTCATTGTCTATTTTTGACAGATTTAGCTGTAAAGGATGGACAGACAGGTGGAGAAGAAACTCAAGAAGAATGGAGAAGAATCGTTAAAGAAGTAACATATGAACAAGACAAAACAAAACGAGGGAAGAGAAGAATTAATTACAGGGAGGAAGAGGAAACAGGCACAGAGATGGAATAGAAGAATTTAACAGGAGAGAATTTCAGATGTTGATGTGATTTTTTTTCTTCTGCCTTTCCAATAATTGAAGAGAAGAAAAAAAGGTGGAGGGTCAGAGATCAAGTCCATAGTTACTTCAAATAAATAGCCATTATCTAATGAACAAAAAGAAGAAACTAAATAAAAACAACAGCTGCTGAACAATCAGCAATATTAAGTATTCTAGTGAATAAGAACCCACCCTGAAAAACCAAAGCGCCGTTCTAACCATTTGTTAAAGGGATTTGAAGTGGACCAGGACTTACCATTGCGTGTCAAGAGAAACTGTTTGTCCCGTGGCAAATATGGCTTCACCTTTGCTTCTTCCCCAGAAGCCCTAAGGGAAGACATTTTGGTATCACACAACCATCACAACAACATTATTGGTAAATATCAAGATAACATATTACTAAGTCATATTTTCCCCATTAGCATATCTTCCATCATCCAGAGTTCCAAGTCACAAACCTGAAATGTTCTGGTTGGGAAAGTGAAGGTCCCATATCTTTATTATCAAGCAACATTAAGAAAAAGTAATCTAAACTTCCCACTTAGCTAATGATACTATTTTATTTTTGCATAATTGATGACCGAGTCCCTCCCGCTCTTAAAGCTGAAGTCTGTAAGTTTTTAAAAATCACTTTTTTGTCATATTGGCTAAAACT